GTGCTCATCAGTCCGTTCCGCCCTCCTTTACGGCTGTAGAAGAAATGAAAAGATTAGCTGTCTTTGATCATAGGTGCCTGCGTTCTATCTCCCGTGTGAAGTGGCATAATAAGGTGAGCAATATTGAGGTTAGGCATCGGTCGAGTGCTAGGTAAGGAGGGGAAATCAATCGACGAGGCTGTGAAGCTATATCGATTGAGATGGTTAGGACATGTCTTACATATGCCTAGTCATCGCCTTCCTCAACGAGCAATGTTAGCTGATATAGGGTCAAGCTGGAAAAGAGCTAGCGGCGGTCAAACCAAAACATGGCGGCACCAGTCAATGAAATCTACAACAGTTAGTCTAAGCCAGCGAAGTAGGTTGGGGTCCTCGGGACGGTAAAAACCATTGGTTGGAAACAATCGGTGACATGGGTCAAAATCGTTCTCAGTGGCTGGCGAAGATGAATCCACTCCTCGTGACTTATGATCTCCAGTGAAACTGTTTTGTTCTTCGTTACTACTATTCCTTTGTCTCACACCTCTGTTTACTGTCTCTATTATGCATTTCTTGTATTTTCTTCTGTTGGTTTGTGTGCTACAGGGAGTGGAGTGTGGCGACTTGAACTGGCGCACATATGTGCAAAGTTCTATGTCGAAAACAGACAGACAGACTCTAGCTTGAAGCCCTCCCTATGTTCCACTGGGAACGTGAAAGAATAATAAAACAAAAGCAGTAGTTCACCCTGTAATTGGCTTTCTATTGTTACATTTCGATTGTTGACTATATGCCAGGTAACAAAAATAGTGTTGTATCGTCAATTATATCATGACACACATTTTAATATAAATAACTGTGCATGAATTTCACTAGTGATGAATCTGTCTGATAGTGGATCTGCTGTGGTGTGTGTGTGTCTGTGTGTAAGCGTTCGATTTCCAACCTAGTAGGTCTCATGGGTTGGCAAGCTTCTCTACGCATCGAAGTTTAAGGGATTGTCTTGTTGATTCAGAGTATGCGGATTATATTGTCTTCATAGGGGAAGACGCTAATAGAATACAGAGTCTTCTGTAAACACCATTTGAGCAGGAATCTTTGAATGTTTGGCATGCGATTCACTCCCTTTATATCAAATGTAAGATAACGTTGCAGGACTGGAGGGAGAGACTGCATCACCGACTCCTAACATAAAGATGGGCATGTTTACCACTTTACTTGTTTAGGAAGTAGGATTAGCTCCCCAATGAGCTGATGATGATTGTTAACGAAATCTCAGCACAGGTACAAACGGTTGGTGTGAAATTTATCAACTTATATCACTCGGCTCTCTATTCACCAAATTAGGTGTGTACCTGTGCGCCAGTTCACTGTGAGACATGACTATAGGAAGTGGAAGAAAGAGGAAGACGAACTGTCTTTTCCCACAGATGTTTGTGTTAGGTAGTATAACATGGTGAGTAATATTGAGGTTAGGCGTCGAGTGTTGGATAAGGAGGGTAAGTCAATCAATGACATGAAGGTGAATCAATTAAGAGACAGCTATTACACGTGTTACGCTATACTGGGCCATCGCTTTGGTCAGTGGACAGCGTTCACGGATATTACATTAAGCTAGAGAAGAGTTTATGCGCGTAATCGAAGCGAAACCAAGCATCAGTCCATGAAATCTTTGACATTTCGTTTAAACCAGCCATGCATAAACGTGTTGGACTCCTCGATATGCTAAGAATCAATGGTTGGAAGTCATTTTCAATGATGCAGTTGCATTCACTCTTGTATCTACTAAACTGTCATGTTTTTTTGTTTCTATGTTACTATTTTTTCTTCTCAACATTTTTTGTTTATTGTCTGTTTCCTCCTCCCCCTTTTATCCACCTTTTTGTGTTATATGGAGTGTTGCAACTTGAAGTACTCGACTTTTGTGCGAATTTCTATGCTGAAATTCAGTCAGTCAGTCAGTCAGTCAATGCACTCAGGAGTTACAAGTATTTGTTCAGTAACATTGAGTTCAATCGACTGACTAACAGGTTTCAACGCAGAACTACTTTGCACAGATGTGCAACAGTTCGAGCTGACATACCCCACGTACCACACAAAGAAAGACATGAGAGTAGAAAGAGAGAAGACAGAGGTGTGAGGGAAAGAACAATAGAATTTTATTGGATATGATAAATTACAAAAAGGAGTGAATGCATCTATGCCGTCAACCATTGACAACGACGATTTGAAGTTATAACGCCAATCCCCTCCAGCCTTCACTAGTTCTTACCATCCCGAGGACACCAACTAGCCAGGAGGGTACATTTCCTTACGTGATTGGCTGGCTGACTTAAACTAATTGTTGTGGATTTCATCGACTGATGGAGCCATGTTTTGACTTGGCCACCATTAGCTAACTCCTTTCCAACCTGATCCATCCTCTGTCAGTCAACTGACATTTCCCGTTGTCGACGAAGGCGATCGATAGCGAGGCTAGGCTGTCTGTCTGTCTGTCTGTCTGGATTCAACATAGAACTTGGCACCGAAGTGCAGCAGTTCGAGTTGCCACGTTCCAAATAGCACACAGAGGTAGACAAGAAGATGAGTGGAGAGAATTAATAGAGTTTGACAAATATAGGAGTGAAACAGAATGGGTAATGGTAGAAAGGAATATGAAAGATTACAGAGATTGAATACATCTGCGCCATTGACAACGATTTTGAGCCATGTCACCTATTGTCTCCAGCCATTGATTCCTAGAGTCCCGAGGGCCCCAACCCGGGAGTCTGCATCTCCCTACCTGACTCAGTTTAACTGTCAAGGATTTCATGGATTGATGCCATGTTTTTGTTTGGCCACCACTGGCTCTTTTCCAACCTGAACCTATATCAGCTAACAATGCCCGTCGGGGGAGGCGGTGGTTAGGCATGCGCACCACGTGACCTAGCCATCTTAGTCTATGTAACTTTATAACCTCGTCGATTGATTTTCCCTCTTTGCCCAACACTCTACGCCTAACGTCAACATTACTTATCTTGTGAAACCACCTAACGTGAGACAGAGATCGCAGACATCTATGATCGAAAGCAGTCAACCTTTTCATGTCTTCAACGCGTATTGGCCATGTTTCAGAGCCATAGAGAAGGACGGAGCGAACTGATGAGCAGTACACACGTCCCTTGGTTGATAACCGGATGTCACGCCTACGCCAGAGATGGTGTAAGTCAGCGAAAGCAGCTCGAGCTTTTCGGATCCGTGCTGAGATTTCATCGCCAATCAGTCCGTTGGTGCTAATACAACTTCCCAAGTAGGTGAAGTGGTCAACATGTTCTATCACTTCACTCCCTATCACTAAGTTAGGGGTTGACGTGGTCCAGTCCTGTAGCAGCATCTTACATTTTGCAGGGGCGAATCGCATGCCAAACATACGAAGATTGCTGCTCAAGGTGTTCAGAAGACTCTGCATTTTGTCAGCATCCTCCCCTAACAGGACTATGTCATCTGCATATTCTAAGTCCATTAGATTATTCCCTGGTAACAAGTCGATTCCTAAGTCACTACGTTCAGTTAAGGATACTTCCATTAGCATATCTATGATGAAGTTAAACAGAAATGGGGAAAGTGGACATCCCTGTCGGACACCACTGGTTGTTACTAATTCAGATGACAATTCCCCATAAGCCCTTACACGACTACGTGAGTTTGAATAGAGTGCCTTGATTAGTGCAATGTACTTTCTTGGCACTCCCTTCACAGTCAGACATTGCCATAGTACTTTTCGGTCCACGGAGTCGAAGGCCGCCTTCAAGTCAAGAAATATGACAATTGTTGGACGCCGAAAAGTGTGTCTATGTTCTAGAATCTGTCGAAGAGTGAAGATATGATCTATGCACCCTCTACCTGGTCTAAAGCCTGCTTGATTTTCCCTTGTCTGTTCCTCCCGAGTTCTGCTTAGTCTATGCATGATTACTGAGCCTAGGATTTTAGAGACTATGTTCGTTAGGCTGATCCCCCTATGATTATCACACGAGGACTTGTTTCCCTTCTTGAATATCGGTATAATAAGTGACTTACCCCAGTCTGATGGTACTGTCTCTGATTCCCAGACTTTGCCTAGTACCTCAGTTAATCTACAAACTAGTATGTCACCCCCATATTTAAACACCTCCGGAATAATTCCGTCGGGTCCTGCCGCTTTGCCTCGTTTCAAATTACTGATAGCTTTTGTAACCTCACCTACAGACGGCGGACCAGTGTCTATATCCCATTCGGGTACGTGGTGGATGTCGGGGAGGTTCAGTGTGGCTGTAGCGAGGCTAGGCTAGGAATGCGTAACACATGTCCTAACCATCTCACTCAATCGATGTCACTTCACAACATTGTCGATTGATTTCCCCTCCTTTCCAACCACTCGACCGATACCTAACCTCAATATCGCTCACCTTATCATACCACCTAACACGGAAGATAGATAGAACGCAGACAGTTATGATCAAAGACAGCCAGCCAGGCTTTTCATGACCATGTTTCACTCACAACCATAAATGTCGACTGAGCGAACTGCTATTGAGCAGTAAACGCATTCGTTGATGGACAGCCAGCCGGATATCACGTCTACGTCAAAGATGGCGTAAGTCGCATTGGTAAATGCCGAATGAGCCTTCTGTCTCCGTGGTGAAATTTCGTCGGTGGTCAACTCATTGAAGCTGACTGATACAACTTCACAAATAAGTGAAGTGGTCAACACGCTCAATACACTTCATTCCGTCCCTATCTTTAAACTAGGACTGAGTCGATGTACTCCAGTGCAGTCGTGTAGCATTTTGTACTTGTTGGGAGCGAATCGCATGTCAAACACTCGAAGATTGCTGCTCCTCAAGGTTTTTCAGAAGACTGTACATTTTGTCAGCGTCTTCACCTAGAAGGACTATGTCAACTGAATTGATTTGTCCATTATTTTCCCTCTCCCTCCCTCCCCCCCCGAAAAACATCCATTACAGTTTGTTTTTCTTTCGTTTTTGTTATTTTTTTCTTATTAGGCTTCATGTTTATCAAATCATCGACGTTTTCATTGTGCTGGTGCTACTGGCAGACCTTGTCCTTTCTGTCAACGGTCTTTTCGTTCATCATCCAGTCTACAAATGCATATTCGATGGAAACATCGAGCTGATGCTGCTGCAGCAGTAGCCGCCGCAGCTGCAGCTGCTGCTGCCAGTGGATCATCCTCCCTATCAGAAGCGTTTACACACTTGCCTGGATTAACGACATCGTATGTTCAAACAGCAACAGTTAATGGAATTCCTACAATGTCCTTGAATGGAAGTAAGTGCGCACTGTTTTTTTTGTATTCCTATACGTTCCCAGTGGAACATAGGGCTTCAAGTTAGAGGCTTGAAGTTTCGATAGCAGTGGGATTCATTTTTGCAGTTTAGGTTTGGTAGCCTCATGTCCAACCTTCCCTCTTTACCAGTCTTACTACTGGCTTAACGAGATAGAGGAGTGTGTCGGCTGGGGATCGAACCCCGCACCACATGAGGCGTAGTTGGCTAGCATTCTACTGCCACTGTGCTACCAATGCTCAACTGCATACTGTACACAGTATATTTTCTAATCGAATTCAGTTTAATGTTTGGACCTGATGGTTATCCTAGGCAATTACACAAACCTCATTGTGTATGTATTTTCTAGTGTGTAGGAATTTGATCAGTTTCATGTCTCGATCATGGATTGATACCAGTTAAAGAGAGAGAGGTGCATCGTCCTAGTTTGGCACTTTTCAACAGTACGCACCCATGACCCTACAAAGGATCGAGGCGGGACCAATATCGTTGACTATTTATCCACTTCGACTGCAGAGCTCAATCACCCATGAATTCTAATTTCTGTCTGTTTGCGATTCTAGCCCAGCTCTCATTCACTTTCATCTATGAGTATTTATTCTCAAGTATTGGTTTTGTCTGATTGGATGGAGGATTTCATCATGAGCTAAAATCAGTTGGAGAACCACTGGAAAACCTGGGATTACCAGACAGCTAACTGTTTCGTCAGCGTAGTTTGGGGATTTTCATCACTACGTACCCAACACAGGGGAGTTCGAACCCCAGGACCTTCTGGTTTCAAGGCTAGCGAGCTCGTAGACCATTGAGCCACTGGGACCCGATCTAATGGTCCTTGAATTCTAACTTCTGCCAGTTCACGACATAGCGCGACCATTTCGCAATGTCTTCTTCGATGAGTTAATACCTCATCTTCAACTTACTGTACCCGACTGGTCACGGCTTCCTACTAAAACCCCAGGTTAACTGCCTGCATAGGGCCAGTCGCTAGTGAGCATCAGATTAATTTTCAAGTATTTGTTTTGCAGGGATTTTGTTTTATTTATTTATTTATTCTCACACCTGACCTGGTTTGTTATTGGACCTCAGGGGTCACAACTCCTTAGAAGTTCAGTCAACCTCGTCCTGTAGCTGTTGTTAGTCACTAGTGTGAGCATTAGATTAATTTTCTAAAGTTCGCTTGTAGAATTCAAAAAGTTGACCAGCTGAACAGTCACGTTCACAAATCGATTTCAAACTCTTAATGTGTCATAGTGAGCTTTATTTATACATATAATTCTCATGTTTATTCCATCATTCCTGTTTACCTGTCTATCTGTTTATCTGTCTGTCTATCTATCTGTCTCAGGTAATCTTGACCTTGAGAATACAACTCTTCTGTCTTCCGTATCTATAGCCTCATCAAATATGAATAATGTGACTGGCTTAATGGCTCCTATCACTAGTAACAGTGGTGTTAGAATGGATTCTTTATTGGGGGCAACAATGAATATCGGTTCACCGAATAAACGAAAATGGCGTCGAAAATCCAAGCCGAAACAAGCACAAAATGCTTTCGGCAAATTGGTATGTAATTACCACTAATATTGATATTTTATTGGTAAAGGTATAATTATAATTTTGATAGTTATCTTTTTATAAATGCTGGTGAGTGAGTGAGTGAGTGAGTGAGTGAGTGAGTGAGTGAGTGAGTGAGTGAGTGAGTGAGTGAGTGAGTGAGTGAGTGAGTGAGTGAGTGAGTGAGTGAGTGAGTGAGTGAGTGAGTGAGTGAGTGAGTGAGTGAGTGAGTGAGTGAGTGAGTGAGTGAGTGAGTGAGTGAGTGAGTGAGTGAGTGAGTGAGTGAGTGAGTGAGTGAGTGAGTGAGTGAGTGAGTGAGTGAGTGAGTGAGTGAGTGAGTGAGTGAGTGAGTGAGTGAGTGAGTGAGTGAGTGAGTGAGTGAGTGAGTGAGTGAGTGAGTGAGTGAGTGAGTGAGTGAGTGAGTGAGTGAGTGAGTGAGTGAGTGAGTGAGTGAGTGAGTGAGTGAGTGAGTGAGTGAGTGAGTGAGTGAGTGAGTGCAAGTCTCCCCTACACCTAGAGAATGCGAATTCTCCAATCAAGCAATGACAACTGTGTTTTTGTTTGTCCGATTAGTTTGTGTTACTGCAGAATTGCATGAGTAAAATGGCTACACCACATCAATAAACCCTCATTTGACGGGACACTAGGTAGTAACTAAGATCGTGCATCTAGTCTCGTTCGTTTACTGCAGATTGAACTATCCCAGTCAAGTATGTAGTGTGACTAGAGTATGCTAGGTAGCTCGTCATTACGGTGTACTCTGGATTGTTTTTAGTTGGTTAAAGGTACTTAGGGAGAGAATCACTGGACCCTAGGTTGTTGACTATCATCACAGCAACGCGTATTTGCATTCTTGATGGAACAAGTCATATACCTTCTGTGATTCGAATCCGCGTTACCTAGTGCTTCAATCATCAAAGGCGTAACTACTGAGTCACATTAGTTACTACTTAGTATCCAATTAAAGTACTCATTGCAGTCCTACAGAAGGGTCAATTTGAACCCGAATAGCTCTCAGTGGTAATGCGTCTCTAACTGCAGTACACTGGGTTATCCGGGTTCGGATTGCAGGTGCGCCTTAGCTAACTAGTGAGTGTCAACAAACACGAAACTTAGGTGATACAGTGCTGCCTGTTGTCGATTACCTCCAACCATTGAAAATCCTACTCTCCACAGCAGTTTGAAGGGTCAACTTTGCTATTAGCTCTGTTATCTTTGGGATCCTTGCTTCAAGGGCTCTATGCAGTTATTGAAGGGATTATTTTGAATAAGAATCCTGGTATATTCCACTCACCAATCATATGCGTGCTAATTCATTTGGCACACTGAGCTCTAAATCTCTTCTCTGGGATGGGTTTTTTATTCCTCTACGTTCCCAGTGGAACATGGGGCGCCTTCAAACTAGTGGCTTGTAGTTTCGATAGCAGTAGTATTTATTTTTGCAGGATTGGGTTGCTAGCCTCATGTTCAACCTTCCCTCTCTACCAGTCTTATTACTGGCTTAACGATGTAAAGGAGTGAGCCTTTGACCGGGGACCGAACCTCGGACCACATGAGGCGTGGTTGGCAAGCATTCTACCGCTGTGCCACCGACTCACTTTGGGATTGGAGGTGGTGGTCGGTTAAAGAAATGCTTCTCATCTGTCGTGAAATCGAAAAATGCGGAAGGGTTTGGACCTGTGATACGATTTGAAAAATCGATTGCTTAATTCAATCAAATAAGCCATAGTGTCAATGATGTTTCTTCTGCTATTGTGAGTCTAAAGTAACAAATGCATCTTTGAATGAAATTTATAGAAATGCTGATATATTTATTCATTCACACGACAGTTATCTTTCTTTTCCCTTTCTGGGTAGTCTGAGTTTTGGTGATTAACTCTCTCATTTGTGGTACTTAGAGTAGTTTTTGCATGTCACTATTAATTACTACTTCCTTGAGAGATCCGAGTAAGACAGGGTTTCAGTATAGTACATTTACGTTTCATGCCTCCCGTCTCTTGCCCCCCCCGTTCTCTGTACTCATCTTTAAATTGGCTTCGTGATTAATAACCATGAGCTTTCATTTTCTTTTCACACGATATCCTCTACATGACCCGCTCAGATATCTCACTTGTTGTTTCTCATTCGACTTCTACTCAATGATCTGGCGCCTGATGCTGTTATTCAACGGTCTCCTCCTCAGTCTCTGTCTAAACCCTCTCTGTCTCTCTCTATTTTTTTTTGCATGTTTGTTGGATAATAGCTTGTGGTTTGATTAGTTCACTGCATCGTCAGAGAGAGTTCCAGCCAGTTAGCTGGCCAGTCATCTAATCTTCAATAAGGAACCAGCAAAGGCGATTGGAAATGCCTTCCCGTGACGCACCTGATCTCTGAAACACATAGAAACACACCTGACTTGATTGATATATTAGTGTTGTGAATCCAAATCTTGTTCCTATATGCTAAGCGCAGTAGATTTACACACTGATATGTGTGTGTGTCTTACCTTTTTCTATCCTGTCTATCTTTGAAATTTCCATGTGTGCCGCGTGTAGTTGAAACCATACTTCTGCCTAGATAAGCGATAGTGATTGAGATGGTTGTTGTTGTTGTTGTTATTGGTTAGGTGTACTGTCTATGTTCACTTGAAGCCCAGTTTTCGCTTATAAGATCTTTGAGTTTGTATGGTTTCAGACACAAACCTCGTCCATGAAGTTCAACTCCTCTAGAGGCTTCTTCTTGATCCAATTTATGCCTGTCGCCCGTTGCATAAACCAGTCCACCACAATCAGGAATATCCTTACTGATAATAGTAGTCGAAGTGACAGTAGTCAGGCTTGTTTCTATCTCAGAGACGCTTCACTGAGTTGTTTTTTTTCACTGGAAATCATTTCTTAGATTACCCACTCGTCGTTTGCTATTCGTGTTCCACTCGAGTGATCGTCTGGCACACGATTTCATTCGATGGTCTCCTCAACATATGCCCAATCCATCCATCTCCATTTTCTGTCTGTCTATCTGTTTTCGACATAGAACTTTGCACCGGTATGCAGAAGTTCAAGTTGCCATACTCTATGTAGCACACAAAGCAAGAGAAGAAAGTACAAGAAAAGCATAATAGAGACAGTAAACAGAGGTGTGAGACAAAGGAAGAGTAGTAACGAAGAACGAAACAGTTTCATTGGAAATCATAAGTCACAAGGAGTGGATGCATCTGCGTTAGCCATTGACAACGACGATTTTGAGCTAGCCATATCACCAATTGTTTCCAACCATTGGTTTTTATGGTCCCGAGGACCCCAAACAGTCAGGAAGTCTACACCTTCCTACATGGCTGGCTTAAACTAACTGTTGTGCATTTCGTTGACTGATGAAGTCATGTTTTTGTTTGACCTCCGCTAGCTCTTTTCCAGGCTGACCCTATATCAGCTAACATTGCTCATTGTCGAGGAAGGCGATGACTAGGCATGCATTAGTAACACATGTCCTAACCATCTCAATCGATATAGCTTCACTGCCCCGTCGATTTTTTCCCCTCCTTACCTAGAACTCGACGCCTAACCTCAATATTGCTCACCTTATTATACTACTTCACACGGGAGATAGAACGCAGGCACCTATGATCAAAGACAGCTAGTCTTTTCACGTCTTCCACTCTCAATGACCATGTCTTACAGCCAGCCATCAAGGAAGATGGAGCGGAGTGCTGAGCAGTACACCCACCCTTTGGTCGATAGCCAGCCGGATATCACGTCCACGACAGAGATGGCGTAAACACTGGCATATGCCAAACTACTATAGCCCTCGGTATCTGTGCTGAGATTTCGTCAGAGATCAACTTGCTGGGATCTGACTGATACAACTTCTCAAATAAGTGAAGTTGTCAACGTGCTCCACCAACCATTTCATCCGCTGTTTCCAAGCTAGGAGTCAGTGTAGTTCAGTCCTGTAACATCATCTTACATTTGACTGGAGTGAATTGCATGTCAAACATTCCTAGATTGCAGCCATCTCCATCTTCTACATATTCTTTTTTGAACAATCGTCTCTCGCTTTGTCGGTTTGTTCCCAGTCAGCCAGAGTTTCTTGTTGCTAATTCTTTCTGCCTGGCTGGTTGGCCAACTGGCCATTTGATCTTCAGTATATGAAGCTAGCGAAGTTGGCAGGTGTGTTGTTAACAAAGGCCTGTAGCTGACTTTTGGGAATGCTTTCCATTACGCGCCAAGTTTCTGACCCACCTATAAGATAGTAATAATAATAATATTAGTATTAATGATAATTCTGTCTCAACTAACTGGTCAAAGTTGACAAAACTCCACACTCTTTATATTTAATATAATAAATATGTTTGCAGTAAAATTTTTCATCTTAATCATTCATCATACTCTTATATTCGAGAAAACAAAAGTACGAACACGCGCACACACACACACACACACACTTTAACTGTCTATAATTGTAGAAAGAATAACACACTTCAGCGTAGTTAGTTAGTTAGTTAGTTGTCAGACTTTTAAACCTAATAATACAAACAAATAAAGAAATAAATAGGTGGGTCGGTGAGGGTGGTGAGTAGGGTGGGCTATTGATTTTAAACATCATCATTCAACCGTTGATTTATTACACTCTTCTAGCTAAAGTGTATCCATCTATCTATCTATCTATCTGTACGTCTCTCTTGTATAAGAAGAAGAAGAATGATGACACTTTTGCTCTAGAAATTCGTCTGTAATGTAGGTTGTCGTAGTGGTGGTGGTGGTAGTAGTAGTACAGTCTTTATTTTGATTGGACACAAGTAACTAGTATGATGTGTCTAGAATCCTTCACGTTTTTGGTGCTATATAAGGTAAATCCAAAGGTGAGTTAAAAACCATTGGATTTCGACTACTTCATCCGAACTGATAGATGCTAGAAGACTTATTCCGGTGAGCTGCGAATTCAATGAGGAGTGAAAGCTGCACAAAAGGAAACTTACGAAAAGTCTACGCAAGGACCGTGAACAGTGGTAGGCGATCTATTTCTCACGTTAG